TACGGCGTAAGTTGGACTGGTGCTGCAACTCGATTAGTAGCACCTGAAATAAAGTAAGGGTTGTTTTATTCTGCTGAAATGCAGAATTTGTGTTTAGCGTTGTTTTATCTTCAATCGGGCTTATATTATTTTAAACGTCTGGTTGTTTAACGCAGTTAAACAACGGGCAAACTACATGAAAAGCACAATAGTACTTGAAGTATTATTGAAGGCTCACCAACGTGGACATGTTACCATAGGGACTTCACCTGTCCTATTTGAAACCATATGACATGAAGTGGCACGTTGCACTTGCTTCTACCGGTACGCGACGTCGGAAGTGAAGATTGAGCACAACAGTTCACGTTTAACTGCACCCTACAGTACCAGCAACACCACCGCGAATCGACCCGCCACCATGGCACAACCCCCGAAATCAACCAGAATACGGTTACTTGACGAAAAGGTCATTATGCAGCTCCAACAACTCGGAGAGAGCGACATGTTGACCTTGACAGGTACGCCCCAGGACTACTGCGTCATACTGGACACGCGATTCACGCAATCGAACACCAGCGAATTCCATGACGACGAACAACCGAAATTTGGAGCGCTTCGACCAGGTGGAGCCGTAAACCTGCTCAGCTGGGAAGCATTTGGATTGCTCAGTCAATACGCGGGCGTGGGGATTCTCATGGGCGTGCTTGGAGCGTTACAGTACCCCGTCTTTCGCAACTACTTGCAAATGGAGGGCTACCAAACCGCCTCGTACGGCGTGCTCATCTCGCTCGGGTGGTCGTCCAAGATCTTCTTTGGCATTCTGAGCGACTGCTGCCCCATCTTTGGGTACCAACGCCGGCCGTACATGGTGCTGGGGTGGACTATTTGTGCCGTGTGTTGCTTGATCATGGCTCTCACCCCATTCCCAGCCCCGTACTACGGCAAAAAGGAGCTCGTGCGCAAACCGCTGTCTAAAATCTCTCCGAACGACATGAAGTACATCAACAAGGACGCTCCGGGAAGCGGGGGCTTGTATATTGTGCTGTCCATGATTTGTTCCTTGGGCTATGTGATGGCTGTCGTGGCGGCCGACGCCATGGTTGTGAGATACGCCCAGCGAGAACCCATTGCCATCCGAGGGCGCATCCAAACGGCGATCTACTTCACGCGCGATTCGTTTTCCATGGTGCCGATTCTAGTCGTGGGGTTCTGCATGAACGACTTCAAGTACGGCGGGGCGTTCTCATGGAGCATTGGGCCCAACGTTGTGTACGCGGCGCTGACTGTGCCGTGTGTTTTGGCAGCGTACTCTGCGTACGCGCTCATGGTCGAAGACAAAGTCGCCAAGGTGTCGTTTCGGCAGTACAAGCATAACGCGTGGGGGCTGCTCCAGCAGCGCGTGGTGTGGCAAATCTGCGCGTTCAAGTTCCTTCACATGCTTTTTTATGGGTATTACTCGACGTTGAACGACCCGATGTGGTCAATTTGGATCAAAGTACAGCCCATTGTCGGCACCGCCTTCAACATTGTGTACCAGCTCTTTCGCGTGGCTACCATGTTTGGCATCGGCAAGTACGCTCTCAACTGTGACTGGCGACTGGCCATGGCAGGCTCCACGGTCGTGTACGTCGCGCTGGATACGACGCTCAACTTCTTGGCCATCTGGGACGTGGTCCGCGACCAGTACTTCCAGAACATCGTCGGCAGCTTGGTGGCGCTGCCCCAAGCGTCCATCTTTTTGTTCAGTGGGTACCTGTTGGTGGAAATCGCAGACGTGGGGAACGAAGGGCTCGTGTTTGCGCTATTGACGTCGTGCTCGAACCTGGCGATTCCGCTCAGCACGGTCTTGGCCAAGGCGGTGGATTTGTTCTGGAACGCGCGACTCGTCGATATCCAGCGGGACGACGTAGCCGTGCGATGGGAGGTCTCGTACTCGTACGCCGTCACCGCTGGCTTCAAGCTGCTTTCGCTTGTGGTTTTGGTCCTGCTGCCACGCCAAAAGGCGTACATTCAAGCCCTCAAACACACGGGCAATTTGAGTGTCGGGGCGGCTGCCACCGTGCTCGTCGTGTTTCTATTTGGGTACACGTGGAGCGTGACGACCAACATCTTGTCCATTTTCCCCTCCACGAGTTGCCTTCGCATTGCCGGAGGTAAAGGATGCCCATAAACATGTACAAGTTCATCTCTCATTCTACTACTTGCTTTTCCACAAAGCACGATTCGAGCCCCACTTTGTAGCATTTATTTAGCTCACGTTAAAACGTAGCATTTAGCTCACGTTAAAACGTAGCATTTAGCTCACGTTAAACCTCAACTTTGTGCGTTTTATTTCTGCCAAAGTAGGTTGAAGTCTACATCTACACGCGTACGGATACGATGTTCGGATACATGTTGCATACTAACATCAAGGTAACCTACGTGGCCAAAATCCATTCGATGCTCCAGTTTCGAATCAATTAGCCACGACGAGGTATGGTGCACGTCATCTACATGTATAAACTTCCAGCTGGCCAAATCCAAGACTGGAGGTTATATTATTTAACGTACTATTAATAGTATACTACTGGAGATATTTAATGTAGCCAAAAAATATATAAGTTAACATATAATCCCGATTTCATGCCGATAATCACTTTATGTTAGGGTCTGGTTGAAGTAAAATCCACCTGCTTTTTTTCGACGACTTTTTGGGTGAGAAGAAGTTGGTGCTGGTTGAAGTCATCCGGTAAAATAATAAGTGGTCAGTGTAAAATGTGCCCGGATAATACCGGTCGTGGTGTTTCATGGCCAATCACTCATAATGACGGAGCTTGGGCAACTAGAGGTGGCTAAAGACAGCCCGACAGTGAAGAAGCCAAGGGCATCTAAAACGAATTTGGTCAAATGTGCACCTGCTGACGTGCAAGTTGCGCTTCCACCGCCCATCTCCAGGGCAGGCTTCGACGCATGTGACGTAGAACAGTTTTAGTTGTGAAATAATAAAATGATGTTGGCATAGTACTGTAGTGCAGAAATACCTTGCCAGTCGTTGTTTCGAATGGAGTAAACATTCATCGGTGACTCCTTGTTTGATCTGCCATCGTGTCCGACAACGGCAACCACACAAGCTACTGCTTCAAGTGTAGTTGCGAACGCTACGATATACCCGGCCTCCACAGTGCTTCGGCGGAAGACTGGTTCAGGGATACTGACATTGCTACGTTGTCCATAATATGGGCCAACGCTCCACCTCATTATTAATAACTTGTTGATAATTTATACCTGCTCAAATTCAAGTCAAACACCCTCTTTTCCAAAAAGTGGTATTTCATGAACTTTTTATATAAATGAATGCCCACATATGTAGTTAACGAGGAAAAGTTAGTGCTGAAAAAGTGGGTGATTCTTTACTTCAACCAGACCCTTAGAGGTAGGTAGATAGATGGTCACTCTTTACCTCCGGATATGATATACGGACACTGGTATCATCCAAACTTCAAGATATATCTATTTGGCCATCCCTGTGGCCAAATTCAATTCACCCATGCAAAATACCGCTTGGTTAACAGTGAATGTCTATTTCTTCACCAATTCTTCACCAAAGTTTTGAGACGTAGAATATCTTCACCACGTTAGAGCATCTCCACCGCATCCCCAAATATTTTCCCCATAACCCAGAACTTCGATTGTACCGCTACTTCAGGTTGCAGTACGGATAATTTGGGAATTATCCGGGTGATTCTGTCCCCATTTGCCTCTGATATCCCAATAATTTGCACTTTTTTGGGATGTCCGAGGCAAATGGGGACAAAATCACCCGGATAAGTCCCCAAATTCTGCGTAGTATCCGTAACTACGAGGTACAACTGTAGTAATGATTTTTAGGGATGGCGAGTTGGGATGTGGTGGCTCTTACAGCTGTAAATGATCTCTCGATTATACTATTAATACAGTCATCCCCCGATTTTTGCAGCCCCTACCAAATATAATTTTACGGAGGTACTTATATGCAAGGGTTATATGAAGTCTTGGAGGAGTATACCTTCACACTAGATAAGGATATTAATCACATTCGATGAGCAAAAACTAATCGTAAACATCCGAATACCCTACACGTTTTGTGAAATGTGGTCACACAATTTCTCAAAGCAAGTACACTCTCATTCTTACAGTAGAAACATCGAACAACGTCCTAGCTTGTTATCCAGTGCTCGAATTTATTCCGACAGCCATGTCATCGTGTATGTAGAGTTAACCACTTTGCAAGGATTCGCATGGCAAATGGACAACGCTCGTGATATTGTGATATGACTTGGTGCTGGCACCGCTTTGAGTTCCCAGTATTAATTTTTCAATAGCCTGTTAAATTGAATATTCGATGGGATTACACAGGATATTCGTTTATACCAGGCTGCAAAAATCGGGGGATGACTGTAGTTATTTCGGATTGTTTACAGTTAGAGCATCTCCACCGCATCCCCAAATATGTCCCAACTCGATAATGGGACATCAGATGGGACAAAATCTTCCCCACGGATGTCCCGAAAACCAAATTTGGGGTTGGGACATCCACTTTGTAGAGTTAACCACTTTGCAAGGATTCGCATGGCAAATGGACAACGCTCGTGATATTGTGATATGACTTGGTGCTGGCACCGCAATTTGAGTTCCCAGTATTAATTTTTCAATAGCCTGTTAAATTGAATATTCGATGGGATTACACAGGATATTCGTTTATACCAGGCTGCAAAAATCGGGGGATGACTGTAGTACGTCTCTATTTGCTAAAATTATGAGAAATGAAAACGAAATCAAGAACATTTTATGAAAAGTTGGTACTAGTAGTTTGTGACGTCCACCATACCTCAAGAACGTACCGGCGGGAACGTCAAAGCGCACCCACGCAGTCGGTCGGCCGTGCGTTCTTGCCCAAGACTGATAATCGCTGCCGCCCCACACATTCGTGTTGCATTTTACAATACGTGCCGGGGTTGTAGTGTCGGTGGAACGGTGCTCCTTTGCGGAAGTCGCAGCCCCCGTTGATGTCGTTCCCATGGCAGCAGCCCCTACTGTTTCATGGAAGGCCACTCAAATGAGGTTGTCGCCTTGGACGACCCCGCCAAAGATCACGACGATTTTGTCGGGGGCTCACAACCCCACGGCAAACGCAAAGGCAATGGATTCAACGGAGTCAAGTGGGGTCAACGTTCAGGCCATAATGGGCTTCAAAGTCTTGGAGGGTGTCGTTCCCGTCCAGCGCAAAGCCAGTGGCAGCAAGCGCCAAGACGAGGCATCCCTTGAGGAAAACTCCGATCATGGTGCGGATTTGAGTGCGCTTTGACTACCTGCCCGCGCGTCCTTGAGGTTCTTCGCCGTGGAGTATCCCCACCACAAGTACAATTTCGGGCCGCTTCGATTCTTGATGGAACAGGATAGCATTTGGTGGAAACTGAGGACTGCGAGTGGGTGGGAAGCCGAGCCGCGGGCATCAAGTACCCCCACTTTGCCACCATCTGCGTCAATAACGACGCGTTCTGGTGCAACGTGTTGGAGAGAATGCAATTTGAAACCACCGCTTCCATCATCGGCTCAATGTGTAGCAACGACAAATCTCAACTAGGGGAGTATACTCCATCTAGTCTATATAGGCAGTCTATATTAACTCCATACGACTACAGAGTATATATTGCCTACAAGGTCACATCGTCACTTGAATGCCGACGCGTCATTCAACTAAAAGCGTCGATGCTGGCCTGTATTTTAACTTCATTGGTCGATTCTACCAGTCTTTGAGAGAAAGCTCTCTTAATTTTGGCACCTTGGGGTCAATAATGCTATCCCTGAAACTTCATCGTGATATAGTTAAGTGTTTGGGTCACGAATAATTAAGTACTACGTAGCACTAGTAATCGGCAATACGAAATTTCCCTACTAATTTTGTTTTACGTTTGTTAGACGAATGGTATCCCTAGCGTCGCTCGATGAGGTCACTACTTTCACAGCCCTTGCCCCCAGCAATGCGCAGACAACTTGTGCTTGGGAAAATGGATAGCATGTTGGTCATCACGTTCCAAGTGTAGCCCACGAAAAACACAACAAGTACCGACGCAGCAGCAAACGCACTCAAGCTTCCGGTGCGCTTGAGCATTACCACGTACGCCTTTTGGCGCGGCAAGAGCACCAAAAACACGAGCGAAAACAGCTTGAATGCGGCCGTCGTAATGTACGAATAGCTGACTTCCCATCGCACCTCGTTGTCGTCCCGTTGAATGTCTTTGATCGTTGCTGCAAAGTACGAATCCACCGATTTCGCCAGCACAGTGCTGAGCGGAACGGCCAAGTTGGAGCATGTGGTGAGGAGGGCAAACACCAGTCCTTCGTTGCCCACGTCGGCGATTTCGATCAATAGGTACCCACTGAACAAAAAGATAGAGGCGACAGGACACGCCGCAAAGCTGTACACCACGCCTTGGATGTATTGATCTCGCACAACATCCCACGTGGTCAAGAAGTTCATCAATGAGTCAACGATCACGAAAACCAACGTCGACCCCGCCATGGCCAGTCGCCAGTCCCAGTTGAGTGCGTACTTGCCAATGCCGATCATCGCTACCACGCGACAGAGCTGATACACAATCGAAAACGCTGTCGAAACCAGGGGTTGTGTGTGGACCCAAATCGACGACACTGGGTCGTTCAACGTCGAGTTGTAGCCAAACGAGAGCGTGTGGAGGAACTTGAACGCGCAGATTTGCCACACCACGCGCTGCTGGAGCAGCCCCCACGCGTTATGCATGTAGTGACGAAACGACACCTTGGCGACTTTGTCTTCAGCCATGAGCGCGTACGCAGAGTACGCTGCCAGCAAGCAAGGCACAGTCAGCGCTGCATACACAACGTTGGGCCCAATGCTCCATGAGAACGCCCCGCCGTACTTGAAGTCGTTCATGCAGAACCCCACGACTAGAATCGGCACCATGGAAAACGAATCGCGCGTGAAGTAGACTGCCGTTTGGATGCGCCCTCGGATCGCCGCCGGTTCTCGTTGGGCATATTGGACGAGCATGGCGTCGGCCGCCACGTCAGCCAAAACGTAGCCCAAGGAACAAATCATGGACAACACGATGAAGAAGCCCCCGCTATGGGGGGCGTCGACGTTGATAAACTTCAGTTCATTGGGGGTCATGTTGGATCGACCAAGTCGCACAAGGTCTTCGCGTCCGTAGTATGGGGCTGGAAACGGGGTGAGAGCCATGATCAAGCAACACACGGCACAAATAGTCCACCCCAGCACCATGTACGGCCGGCGTTGGTACCCAAAGATGGGGCAGCAGTCGCTCAGAATGCCAAAGAAGATCTTGGACGACCACCCGAGCGAGATGAGCACGCTGTACGAGGCGGTTTGGTAGCCCTCCATTTGCAAGTAGTTGTGAAATACGGGGTACTGCAACGCTCCAAGCACGCCCATGAGAATCCCCACGCCCGCGTATTGACTGAGCAATCCAAATGCTTCCCAGCTGAACAGATTGAGGGCTCCACCTGGTCGCAACGCGCCATAGTCTGCGATATCAATATCTCCTTCGTCACTGAAAGGAGACTCGGAAAATCGCTTGTCCAACATGACGCAATAATCTCGGGTGGCATTGGTGTCGGTGGCGTTCGTCTCGGCTGAGCGTGCGAGATCCTTTTCGTCAATTAACCACACCTTGTCTTTCCGAGGACCTCGCGTGGCCATGCGAGGAGTCTGGACTTGATGCAATCAAGAAATGAACAATGTCACAAAACATATCCTCGTACATATTCTGAAGGCGTGTCCCTGTTTCAGCTGCTACTGACGATGCGCTACGAGTGGCTGGACGAATCGAGCGGGTGTAAAGTGTTCATGGCTGTTTTGCTTGCTGTATGTAAACTCATTCCTTCTGTGGTACGTATGTTGATTGCAGATACATTCAAGTTCAAGTTGAAGAGTACGTATTCGTTGTCGTAATGGTGCGGGCTCGAGACATCCAAACGATGGCAACCAATTACCTTGGAGAAACGATAGAAGACCTACACGACTCGGATTTATACTACAGTAAACTGAATGAACTCGCAGTGTGCGATTGAAGGAGTGGTTACCCTTGCGAACATTTATAGTTCATGGTACATCCAGGCTTACAGAAGGAGCATGCAGAAACCCCCCCCAGTTTAAATGAGGGGGGTATGTTTGTGGGAACCTCCATAAGCCGAAGCACATCGATAATGCAATACTCATTCCCGTCTCCAGTACCTAACAATTGCTAAGCATAAGTACTCTAGTACGTTCTAGTTGTACTGTTGTAAGGAGCGTGTTAGGGCGCAACTACTGTACAAACTCGCAAATAGTGACAGTGAGTACAATCAACGGTAGAGTGTCTACATACATACAGTACCCCATGCCATGACGTTATTGCCAAATCGATTCGATCGAAGAATGCATTAAAGAACTACCTAAGCCAATCAAATCACGTTCTGGTAAATTTCTGCCAATCCAAACGTTTGACTCGGTCTGTCCCTCCGCATTATTTACACTAATATTTGTATAGTTTGTACAAGCTTAAATTGGATCAAATCGATTCGAATGCTACAGTATATGGCGAAATGACTCACAAGTCCAAATTTGGGTGAAATGCACAATACGATATGGGGAGAAATTACTCGCGCTGTGACTAACAGTAAGATAGAATTTTATCCGATGTATATACCGGTACGTATACAGTATCCTCCCTTTACCCCCCAAAACAAGGATTGCGCACATTCGTGGCTTGACGGGAACAACGCATGACATCGAGCCCCGGCGACACGAAGGAAAGCAATTGTTCATCGTGGGAGGCTTCCTTGCGATTATATACATACTACTAGTTATTTTCTGTCCTTCATACCAGCCGATGGAAAAGATCGTGAAAAGAACTTTTGCTTGTCAAATGTTGCGGAACGATAACTTCGGTGAGCCGCGTTGAGGACCCTGGTTTCCACGACAGCAATACAGGAAACGTAGAATGTCAATTGTTGAAAGCGCCCTAAATTGTGTTCAATTTTCAGTACAATCCACCAATTATATATCAACGTGCAATGAATTTCGCACAATTGAGCTGTACAGCTCTTCGTATATGCTACACCACTATAAGGTGGTGTAGGTGTGCCAATTGTTAACGTATTATTTTAACCTTCGGTGTTGTATGCTACGAGTATGCATATTCAGAGGTTTGTTCTGTGATTGGCGTTTTTCAAATTTAGGGATCAGTGATTGGCTTGGTTTTATATGTCATTGATTGCCACATACTAGTACGCCATTAATTGCCACTTTACGTTAGTATGCTAGATCGAAGTCTCGCAGAAATCCTAAATTGACTCCCCCGATCCTACAACGGAAGGATCTGTAGACTTGGTATACACACTTGGATTTCTCCCTTGAAATACCCAAATAGTGTGGATTATATGTAAACTTGACCTGGTATTGTATTTTTACCCAAAATTTGGACTTTTGCAATGAATCGCCAAATCTATCGATCGATTCTTTGTACTGAGTTTTGTATATAAAAAATTGTCCTGTGGTGATTGGAATCGCACTAATTGAAGTCACACACTAATTTGGCGTTGATGATGGTTTCCTGCAATCTGATTGGCTAAATCCTTCTGTTGATTCTTCTGTACATTTGGTTGTGTCGATTCATTCTCCATGTCGCTCCAATTTCGAATAAAGACAACAATATCACCTTTGAAGAGTGGGCAGCAGTGCCACGTCCAAAATTGTCTGGCCCTGGAATACTCGCCATATCGGCAACAGTCTATTGGCCAAAAGAACAATGCAGACTGTGCAGGACGTTGACTGAAGAGTCGGAAGTCAGTACAGTAGCTGTAGTGTGCGTAGTTACCGTCAGTCGATGGCAATGTACCTTGCTATCCAATCAGTACAAGTACAGTGCCTTGTTGATATCCTCAATACTACTTCGAAGTACTATTAATAGTACATGTACCCAACAAGGCAAAGTTGATACTGTACGTTCAATGTTAGGCGCTGCTCACAATCACGGAACAATTCCCTGGCACAATCCATAGTTTGGAATTGGCCCTCTCAATAGTACGTAATATTTGTATGCCACCTACATCGAAAAACAGTATACAGTGGATTTTTGCGCTCATTTAACAATATAAATGTATAAAGGTACGTGCCGACAAGGAGTCATTTTGCCAAATAGGATTCGAATCTATTCGTTCCAATATTAAATCTTACATCCATCAATGATTGTGATTAGCCATTTGCTGGCTGGGAATTGCATGCTGACCGGGAATTACATGAATCACCTAACAATAAATTATCGAGCGAGCTCTCTTCGTTTCCAAAGTAATGTTAAGGTGATTCATGAAATTCCCGGCCAGCAAATGGCCAATCAAATCATCCATGGACTATGATTGGACAAAATTACGTACTCTTGTATCAAATACTTGTGTAACATTTAATATTCAGCTTGTCGGACATGTAATACAGTTTCTATATTAGTGGCACTTCTAAATTTAATTACTTGAACACTTTATACATATTATTATTAAGAGGTTTTGAGGATTCTAATCAAGCATACATTATTCAAGTGACTTTCTGACCGGGAATTAACACTGTAAATTCAAATAGGAAAATTTCATTTTAGAACTTCGACAAGCAAATTGACCATGCGATATAAATGACGGGACCTGCATAAAGTTATAAAGTTCGGTACGATCTTCAAAATGCATGTTTTCGCAGACTCATCGGAAGAATGGGTGACGACTTATGGCACTCAGAAAGCAGGCCAAACTGTCCTAGAATTACATGAATCACCTTACTATTAATACCAGTACGTAGCACTATTAATAAGCAGTAGTACTATTAGCGAGCTGGAGTTCTGCCGACAGAAGAAGCTTGCGTTCTCAACTTAGCGTGACTAGCGGAGAACAAAGGACAAGATCATGTTAAGAAAGCGTCACAGCCACCACGAGACATTGTGTGGGCAAGGACACCGCGAGCTCATTCCCTTCAAGGACGAACTGCTTGCTTACATGTGTGACCTCCAAGGCACCGAACTATACATCCGTGTGTTCCACCTGATGCGGTGGATCAAAGCGAACAAGATGCCTTGACTGGAGCAGTACTTGACAACGAAACGAACGAAGAAGTTGCTTACCGTTCGTTTCGCATTCTTCTGTTGAGGTTCTCCTACCGTTCCCGCTTTCAGCATCGAGTGCCGTGCAAGAACAAGGTGTCCTAAAAGGATGTTGGACGCTGTGTGGCTGGGATATGCAGCAACCTTTTGGAACAAATACTCCCCCTACGACAAGCGACAAATCATCAATGTCGACGAAGCTAGTGTGCTCTACGACATGCCGCCTGGTATGACATAGCGGAGATCGGTATGGTAAGCAAGGTTTCAGATGATGACAAGAATTCTGATCGACTGACGGCGGTGTTGTCCATTCTTGCTGATGGTTTGTGCATTCAAACGGATCATATTGTAGCGATGTGACAGGTGGGTTAACGGCTTGCCACCACCTTGCCCGCATCCAGCTCCTAAGTACCTGGCTCATAACGAACCCTAGCTAATGCTTGCCTGGGAATGTGTCTCAAGGGCAAGTATAGCTTAGAATCGCTAGCCTAGTGAAGTTCCCAATGTCTCAACCGCACCCGCATCCATTGTATACAAAAGTGCATATTAGTGTAGAAGTAGTGAAGTAGATTAAGAAGATTTCATAGTGATGAGGATTAAGGAGATCTTTGTAGATCTTCAGTTAATTCTTTGTGCATTTTGCCCTCAACTACACACGCTTCCTCCCGCAGTGCTACACATATACTTACACATGTTAAGTGGGAAGTTGCCATTGTTGTTCATTCTGAAGGGACTAGAACTCGACACTTACCCCCAAGTCCACCATTATGCTGTCCAAGCAAACGCATGGATGGATGAACGTGTTTGGTCAATTTATCTTGACGATGTTTTGGCGAGGACGCATCAGTTTTGTTGGTTGACAACTTGGCGTGTCATGTCTCTGAAAGCTCAGCAAGGTTGGCAATGATTAAAAGAACCATTAGTGTGTGGGGAGAGATTTCTGCGGAAACCATAGTGAAGTCATTTGAAACAGCAATTCCCACTGTAATTGAAATATAACAGTGGCACTTGCACGAATGACTTCGAGACTTGAGGAAGAAGATAGATTAAACGAAGTGTCTAACCTGCTCAGCGATATGGGTGCTTAATTCTATTAAATTAAGGTTCCTATTAAAAAAATAGATTTGGCACACGGCAGCGAAACGGAGGTTATGTGTATAATATTGTGCAGGTGGTGCCTTGGCGAGGAGTGAGCCCCAATTGTGCACTTCACTGAATGTCCAATCGATCCCTTTTGTCGGGAAAAGCGGCAGGTACGCCGCAGGCCGTACAACTATTCGCATGTAACGCGTAAATCCGGTTAAGTGCGTATCCCAAGCAAAAAATATCAAGTAAATATTTATCCGAATCGTTATGGCCTAACTTACTAAGTATGGTACCGTATGGTGAATACCAATCCGAAAGATTTATGGGCCACGTTTTATTGAATTTGGACACGTTAAACCCTTAACTCATATTTGCAAATACTACTACAGTACTAATAATAATACCTCTGTTACGTAACTATTGCAAGCCATTCGTACGTATACAAAGTGCAAGTAATTGTATGTCGTCGCTCTACTGTAAACCTGATCGTTCTTATGCGGGTTGTATACAATACACAAGTATGTCCGACATATTGCGTTCGGATAATTTCATTCGGCCAAAATATGTTCCCTTAAGGCCAATACAAATGTCAAGTATGTCTACCTGAAATTGTCCGAACGAATCATATTTGGGGTAATCCGGATAACTAGGATTTCCCGCCCACTTCACCATGTCGTCCGAGGATGATGATGCTGACGTCTCATCGTATGAGCAGCAGCGCATCGCCAAGATGCAGCGTAACAAGCTGGCCATGGAGAACCTTGGCCTTCTAGGCGCCAAGGACGAGCTCAAGCGCAAGCGTCAGGAGGCGCGGATGGAGCAGGACGCAGCCCGGAAACTGCAGAAAAAAGCCGACAAGTCCACGTTCGTCCCCCGCCGCACGGCGCGAGGCACCAAGCCCATCACGTACATTCAAGATGAGTGGCGAGATCCTAACGAGAAGAATCGCCAGAACATGGAGGCACTCAAGAAACGCCTCGCGTCGGCCCCGACGTTCAGCAAAGAAGCGTGCTTGTTGTGTGGGTTGGTGGTGCTGCGCTCTGCAATGCGGCAGCACGTAGGGGCGCACATCGTGGCCGAATCGTTCGCGACCATTCGCTGCGGCTTGTGCGGTCTCGAATCATCCACTTGCGAGCACAAGGTGCAACTGGGGCTTCCCACGATCCTCCCCGTCGGGGACATCGCAACGACGGACCTTTGCCCCAAGTACTTTCCAGTGGTGTTGAAGAAGGCGTCTCGAGGCAAGTGCACGAACTTGCCGCTTCGATGCTCCAAGTGCCGCACGTGGCTATGGACGTACACGATGAAGACGCACTGGACCAGTGTCCATGGATCCACCCGCGGCATGTCCAAGAAGGAGGCGGCGGCGGCCACCGTCAGTGCCGACGAAATCGCGGCCATGACTGCGGAAATGGAGCGCATCAACGTCCAGCGTCTCGAGGCCCAATACAGCGACAACAGTGACAGCAGCAGTGACGGTGCGTTTCGACAGGGTGCTCGTGGTGGAGTCGTAGTGCGATCGTATGCTTTGCGGGAACGGCGGCCATTGGGAGACATCGATACGGACGACAACGAGTTTTCCAGCGCCCCGGACAGCGATTACGACGACGAGTCGGACTAATAATACAGTGCATGTTGTAACAAACCCTTATGGCCTACACTACTACTGTAGTACGACATGAAACTGGACAGATATTACTCAGTTGTACACGAATCTCGAATATTTGACCGCAAAGTGGAGTATTTTAGCGCGCAATACAACCGAAGATGTGACTACTTAATAAATGACCCCGTGGTACTACAATAGGATACTGAATACAGTATTGGTATTATCGAAGTACTGCAGCCGAATCGAAGTATTGTGAATTCGCTATAAACTTCCAAAATTCGCCTGGTTTGTCGAATCAATCTTGAATCACGCTGGAGTTCTGATTGATCAAATATACCTGTCCTTTCTGCAAGAGCCAATCAAATCCACTCAAAAATGGCCGCTATTCCAAGAAAATATGCAGATATCGAAATATCCTATTTTTCGAGATTATAATTATGTCACCATTTTCCTAAGAATCGGGAGTTTTTTATGGCATAAGAATCGACCGATTTGGTCCAACTTTACTATGGAGGTTTGTGTTCACGTTGACTGCGAAGACTTGCTGTTGCAAAGTTTCAACACGAGTAATTTTTCGACAGGCTGTAAAACCAGTTTGCATAATGTATCGTGAAATTAACGACGAGTCAGGATAAAACTAGGAATCAAACAAAATCAGTCATATTCTTGTCAGTGACGGATGGCCATCACAATCGCCGCTCAACAAATTAAATATCCAATCATTTTCAAAAGACCGCCAGATTTCCAAAATGTAGCAGCATCTTGCCATTTATCGAGTAATTGAGTAATTTACCACTTGTTTCTTTCTACCCCGAAACTCCGAAACCCCGAACTGCACTTTTACAATTACTCGAAATCTGAGGACACCTTAGCGATGCATCGTGTAGGGTAAGTACTTATCACCTTCAGATATGTTAGGTGGCAATTTCAAGTAAAGTTTGAAGGATTTAGCCTGTCAAACGCTGTCCAAGTATTTCAATGACTTTGAACTGAATGGTAAAACTCCACTCGTCAAGAACGATTGGTTTGGAGGCGACCGATCGTTACGGTGACCTTAATTACCACAGATGCATAGATTCTACTATGTAGTACTTTGCTATGTTTGTACTTTTGAGAGGCCTTTGTGCCTGCAGTTGTGTCCTTTGACTCCGACGTGTCAATATATTTAGTCGGCAGCCAATGGAAAAAAAAGTATTCTTGGAGATGCTCAAAAGTCGCAAGAAGTCCAGTTATTTCGAATAATGTGTTGTGGTTGGAAAACGTAGTGCAACCTGCACTACAACGATCCTTACAGCCAATCCCTGTTGAGAGTGTTTTGATTGGCTAGAATTCATGAATGCGACGGAAGAACCATTCCAACTTCAGGTCACATTGCAAGTCGGCCGAGTCATTCCACGTCCTGCCAGTATCGTACACTGGACCATCTACAAGCACAAGCAAACACATCCAATGTACGATTTAATAATCTATTAAATATTCATCAATTAATTTTAAGTTTAATTCAAAAGGATATTTAATTTCAATAATAAAAAAATAGATTCTATTAAAAAAAAATATTTTTGGTTTTTGTTTTTTTGTTAAATTATTTATAAATAATATTGTTTGACGTTGTGAAGGAGTTATAGGTTTTATTATTTTTTGTATCATTTTTTTTTTATTAAATTATTATATGTAGATAAAAAAATTAATGTTATATATTTTTGATAAAGCTATTTCTAATTCTAAAAGTATTTTATATTCATTAATAATTTTATATGGTATTAATAAATATCAAGCTAAAAGAATTTGTAATAATATTGGAGTAAATCCTCAAACAACAATAAATCAATTAAAAAAAAATCAATTAAATCGTTTAATAAATTATATAAATAAAAATATAAAAATTGAACAAATATTAAAAAAAGCAAAAAAAGATCAATTATATTAGGAAAAAATAGAATTCCTGACGACATATTTTTAATTTATTAATTAGATTTATATTTGATGTTTTTATTGACATTTCTTCTTTTTTTGAAATAATTTTTTATATTTGTGCTGTTTTATCTATGTTAATAGGTTCTTTATCAGCATTACAACAAAAAAAAATTAAAAGATTATTAGCTTATAGTTCAATAAGTCATGTAGGTTTTATATTAATAGGTTTTACTTCTAATTTATTTGAAAGTATACCCGCGATATTATTATATATTATTATTTATATAATTATGAGTATTAATTTTAATTTATAAGGATAGTGTGAGATTTGAACCCACGGTATATTTTAATATACTTCAGTTTTCAAGACTGATACTTTAATCCACTTAGGGGCCGCCGTCTTACTCTATGTAGTTAATCTTAACATAGAAACCCTTGGATTTTCGGTGATAATGATTCTTATCATTATTTTTTGTTACTAATGCCAGCATTTCCTATTCTGATATCTTCAATATATTTAACAACATATCTTTTACAACATACAGAATGTTCCGCTACCGTTATACTACGTAGTATTAAATAAATATAAC